CCCGAGGGATCTGTGTGGCTCTTTCCCCGCTCTACCCCGAGGGTCGGATCTCCCAGAGCCCCTCCAGGCTCTGCTGTGGCCACCGTGGTCACCCCACGATGTTTCGTCGGGTAGAGCAGCATTGGTAGAAGGATTTTTGCCGCGCTGCAAACAGTTGTTCCACAAGGGCAGACTCATTGCTTTGCATGTTCCAGCCGTCGCTGTGTTTCTGCCTTGATTTCTGCCCTGTGTGCAGCAGTGAGAAGCAGCCCCAGCAGTCCCTGCACGTCCCGTCTTGCCTCATCGTTGGCCACGGTCATGGAATGTGCTCCTGGCCTTGGGCAATAGAGAGTTTCCAGGTTTTCTGTATGCAAAGTGCTGCAGAGATTGCACAGACATGTCACTCCTTGTAGAATGAAGTAAGGAAACTGCTGCTTCTCAGAGTTCTGTGTGATTTGAAGCTTTATTTTTCAAAGCCATTTCTCTGTCCTTTTCCCACATTTGGCTTGCATGCTAACACAGAAGAAGGTTACTAAAGCATACTGTGTTGAGTAGAGTCTGAAATTCAAAGTAGTGCTGATGTTGACCTCATTCTAACTCTGGGGTTTTTTTAGGAAATCAGTCATGATACTAAAAAATTCCGATTTGGGCTACCCTCAGCAGATCATGTATTAGGATTACCTGTAGGTAAGTACTGGAAATACTTAATTACATGTATTTCTGGGTTTGGGATTAGTAACTATACTCCTCGTTCTTGGACTTCTGACTGGGAATTTGAGGCTCAGCAGAGCAAGGAATTACAAGCTGCATCTGATGCTGCTGTCTCAGAGAGAAATGACAAGTTTCCCAAAGGGTTGGATCTTCTGTGTGTGCTTTGTTCTGCTTGTGTTCAGCTGTGTGGTATAGTTTAGAAAACAGCAGTGAAACTGAACTGAATCTGTTGAAATTCAGTCAGGATATAAACAAGAATGGTATCTGTCTGGGATTTTTCGTATTTCTGATTCGCATTCCTCTTCCATCTGGTGCCCTTGCTTTATTGCCAACTGCCCTTATGCTTTTGGCAAATACAGTCAGTAAATGAGAAAGAGGGCAAGTCTTCTGTCTGTAAAGCTTGTAGCTGTTGGGGGAAATGCAGCTACTCTATGTAGAAGACACTGAAGGATTCAGAGCCTTTCCTGTGTGTGCACTTCCCTTTGATTTATGCACAGAAGTGTGCAACTTTGTCATGTGTTCTGTAGCATGAAGTTCATTTCAGGCTAGGATTGGCACAGACTTCTGGACCCTGGAACTCTGATAGCACTGAACCTTGGACCTTTGGCTTGAATTAACGATAAGCTCTGCAGGGGAAGGTCTCTCGCTCTGATTTGCAGATGTGGCAGATGTAGCACTGTTTGTTCTGTCCTGTGTTGCAGTTTCCTGTGCTGTGTGGCAAGTATCAGGCTCTTCCCATTCCATGCTGTGAGTGTCCTTGCATGCTGCCAGTCAAGGGCAGCTGTCTTTCTCCAAATTCTCTCCTGACTTGTATGGAAAAGTATAATTGAACTGTCCACGTTAACTACACAAATGATAAACCAGCTGAGGTGTGCCCTGCAGTGATTATGTTTGTCCAGATTTCATTCTTGAGAATATAGGAATAATATCCTGAAACTGTATGGGCCAGATTACTTCCTGGGAGATTTCTGCCTTCTCCTTTTTACCAGGATCATTTTGCTAAGAATGTATTCTGCCAGCACTGTTCCTGCTTTTTGTTTTTCCATACAACTTTCTAGATTAGTGCCTCAGGCTGAGGAGACTGCTCTGGGAAAGGGGTTTCAGTTCTTTAATCAGCAGAAAGAAGCAGGAGCCTTTTGAACTGTTCCTCTTGGGAGCCCACTAGGTTGGGCAAAGAGCTCTCTGTGGACAGCAGCACCCACTGCTGTGGAAGCAGTATGGAATCAGGAAATATGGAGAAGGAACATGACACTGTCCTTGATGTCTAGGTGCAGGATCTCTGGGAAGTTTGCTTTGAGAGGCTGCTGTTTAACAACAGTGCCTGTGTGAACTGGTGTGTCCTTATGTCAACTTCATGAGAACAGCAGTACCCAAAATATAAACACTTGAGAATGAGCAACAAACTTTCTGTATCTCCGTTTTACTATAGATTTCCTACTTTCCTTGTATCTTATCCTTGATTCTGTAACACACCAGCTCTCTTCAGTTACTCTGTGCTCCAGAAACTGTTGCTGAGAAAGGAGAAGAGACTAGATGTGTTATACAGTGTTTATATGTTAAAGATTTTCTGTTGTTCCCTGTGTGTAATGGGTTACAATCCCTGCCATTCTCTCTTGTCCTCAAGGGGTGAAAAAATAATCAGCTTGTACTTCTTTCTCTCTAGGCCAACATGTTTACCTTTCTGCAAAAATCGATGGCAATCTGGTGATTCGAGCCTATACCCCAGTTTCCAGTGATGAGACAAAAGGTTATGTTGATTTAATCATTAAGGTAAATTTTGGTTTTCTTTAATGTAGAGAACTTGCTAACTGGAAGGAAGGCAAGTACTTCATTTTAGTGAAATAGTTTATTTTATTTATATATTTTATTTTTATGGTCCAAGACCTGTGGTATGAGATTCAACAAAGTCAAGTGGAGAGATGGAGAAGGGAATCCCTTCCATGACAGTACTGCAGGAACTTTTCTAGTATTTTTTATTTGGCAAAGCATGAACACCCTTCACTCTCCCTCAGGATGCCTATGCTGCTGCTCATGCTTACTGCTAAATACTCTAAGTAGAAAACAAGTCAAACAAGGGAAATCCTTTAAGCTAGGGAATGCAGGATGATCTGATCCTAGGACCTGGGTTTTCTAATCCTTTTCCATGATAGAGTTTGTCCTCAGGCTAAAATCTGGCTTTTTTTTTACATGCTCTCTTCTTTTTACAAGTGTGGTGAATTGTTATTAACTACTTAATATTTCTTATGTGCTTGAAAAAAAAGCTGAAAAAGCAGTCATGTGGCTGAGTCTCTGGGAGATGCAATGCTATTTTCAGAAGTAGTGATTACAAAAATGGGGTGGCATAAGGTTCTTGCTGAAGCAACAGTGAAATTGAGGGCACTGGAATGTAATCTGCCTGCCATCCACTCCTGTCAGCCTGGCTGTTTGCAGAGAGCTGAGAAACATGTGCATGACAGTAGATTTCACTTCCTTTGGCTGCTTCTTTACTTACTCTTTACTTATTATTGCTGCAAGGCTCAACAGGTAACTGAGAGCAAAGAATTGTCTCAATTTCTTTCTCAGGTGCTAAATTTCAGACCTGCAGTGTTGTGTTCTATAGTTTGTAATGCTCTCTGCAGGAAGGTTAGTGGTTGATACAAGTTGCTGTTTTTACAGGTCTACTATAAAAATGTGCATCCCAAGTTTCCAGAAGGTGGGAAGATGTCCCAGTACCTGGATAACATGATGATTGGAGATGCCATTGATTTCCGAGGGCCAAATGGACTCCTGGTCTATAAGGGAGCAGGTACTGTGGCATGAGAGAGGGAGAATAAAAGGGAGGAATTTGTGTTGGTTGTTTTCAGAGTTGATTTATAAAACTTAACAACTTTGTAGAGAATTTTTTTAAAAGTGAAAGAGAGAAAAATCCACATTTTCTAGACATGACCAAGAGCCCATCAGAGTTGATATGATGGGAAAGAATACTTTTTGTTTACTTCATGTGAGGAATAGCTGATGATTGTTTCATTCCCAGGACTATATAATTAAATCTGAAAAAAATTGCTATTCATTATATGACTGAGCAGTCTGCACTGGAAATAATGTATCAGCTATATATATGGAGAGAGATGGACCAGACTTGTTCTTAAACAAGTGAAGTTTGGCCTAAAATGCCCTCTGAGAATCTCAGCGTTGTTACAGAATCATAGAATCACCAAGATTGGAGGAGACCTCTAAGATCATCAAATCCAACCATTAACCTGTCACTGCTGGAACCCCTAAACCCTATTTTTTGGTGCCAGATTCAGACACCTCTTAAACACCTCCAGGGATGGTGACTCCATCTGACTCTCCTGTGTCAGCTTGTAGCCATTTCCTCTAGTCCTCTCCCTGCAGCCCTGGCAGGAGAGACATCCCCCAACTCTCTCCAGCCCTGGCAGGGAGTTGTAGAGAGCCACGAGGTCACCCCTGAGCCTCTTCTCAAGGCTAAACAAACCCAGTCCCTTAGCCCTTCCTCATATGATATGTGTTTAGCTGACTTCTCATCACAGGATACTCTTAAGGCAGTCACCTAGCTGACTACAGGTGTCATGAGGATCTCATTAATTGGCAATTAATTATAATAATGAAGTATTTGATGAAAGTGTGCAAGGCTCCAACATTCCCAGGTCTAATCTTTGCAGGGGTTCTTGCTTGATTTAATTGCAACTCTACTCAATATGGACAAACACATACAGCTACAGGTCCAAGTGAGGATGATGAAGTTGGCCAAAGAAACCTGTTTCTCTGTAGCAGTGGCTGTGGTTACCTTTAGCTACCACTGACATTCACAGTCACTGTGTTCTGGGCAGTGACATGGGAATCCTTGAGTTTATTGTAAGCAGTGTTGGATAGCAGGGAAGGAATAAATCCATTGTTCAAAGCTGAGATTGGAGTTTACAGAGGCAGAGAGGTTTGCCCTCTGCTCTCAGTGCTGTGCTGAGCACAGTTAGCATTTTCAGAAGAGCTCCTAAAATAATTGGTAGGCTGTAGTCATTTATCCCCATGGAATTTGTATCCATGTTTTTTGGAAGCTAAGGTATCTATAGGTTTTCAATATTTCTTCTAGGTACCTTTCTTATCAAGCCTCATAAGAAGTCTGAAGCAGAGAAGAAGTTTGCAAAGCATGTTGGGATGATAGCTGGAGGAACAGGTAAATCTATTGCCATCACATGGAATGTCTGGAGAATGAAAATGTCATTACAGATTTGTGTGAGGAGTATCACTGCACTTTAGTAGCAGAATATTACACTTGTATATCTTTCCACGAGTGTTTGGCATCACTGAGGCATTGCAGTGGCTTGAGCTCAGTCCTAGGTAATCAAGGTAATCTTGACTTACTGTGTGACCTCAGAGAAGTCACTTCATCTCTCAGTGACAAAAAGTATTTTAGGAGAATGCCTGAGGGTAAAATTACTGTATGTGATAGAGTTTTGTTTTGAAGCTATTTGTCATAACAGGAACCCCCAACCTCTGCATTTGGGTTGATTAGAAATTCAGAGACCTGCAGCTCTGTGCAAGCCAAGCTCCCACTGGAGCCTGAAGGAAGGCAGCATTAATATTGAACCTGCATTCCTAGAAAGAAATACCTGTTTTATGACCACTCTGTTCCTTGACAGGAGTAACTCCTATGTTGCAGCTGATTCGTCAGATCACAAATGATCCTAAGGACTCCACAAAATGTTATCTTCTTTTTGCTAATCAGGTGAGTATTTTGACCCATCTGCTCTTCTATAGTGGCCTACTTGTTTTTGCTGGCCTCTTGAGTTTTTTTTCACTGATGGCATGTGTTTCATACTCTTCCTGTGTCTTTGGGTTTGCATTTTCACTCAGCCATGAGAAAATTCTGAGATAGCACATTTAAAAATGATCAGTATAGGAGAGAGCAGGAAATAGTAATTATGTAAGATATTAATATATTGTCTTGGGTTAAATTATTCGAGAAACAATTAAAACATATCCTTAAGGCCCTTTATAAATCCTTACATTGTGCTGTCATAGATTTTCATGTCCTTTTTTTAGTTGTTTTGAAGGTGTCTCCTCATAGTGTTAATTTAATTCCTGTATTAGGGAACCAGTGACCAGATTCTGGTCCCTCTACTCATCTTACTCCACTGATTTCAAGGAAACAGGATTTGTTTCTGCTAATCTGTTTCTACAGTTAATCTTCACTGTCCTGGTCCAGGGCCATATTTGCCAGAGTCAGAGACAAATCCAGTTCATTGTGACTTTAGCCTGGATTAAAAAGTAGCTCAACTTGCCAACTTTAAGACCGTATTTAGGTGGCTAGTAAGTCATGTAGTTTGTTGTTCTTAATCTGAATTTACAGAGCCTGTAATGATAATAGCTAACAGGTAAGGGGGAAGAAAACAAATCAGTTTCTTGGTTTGCATAAGTTATTGCTGTGTTTGTCTTGGCTGCCAGATGAGCTCACATCAGAGGGTTCTTGGGATGGTTTGGAGCTAAACAGTGATCTCGTTTTGCAGACAGAAAAAGATATATTGCTGAGAGCTGAGCTAGAAGAGATTGCAAAGAGGCATCCGGATCAGTTTGTGCTTTGGTATACACTGGACAAACCTCCTCAAGGTAAGTTGCTGGGACACATGGAAAGGCCTTGGCTTGTTGCCATCCAACAGTCAGAGCTTCATTCTTGTCCAAAGAGCCATTAGGATAACATCAAGTCATCTTGTCTTACACTTTTAAACAACTAATTCCATAGGAATAGCACCTCTGTGTGCAGGATGACTTCCTCGGGTTTGCATTTGCCTCCTAATTGTGTTGGCAGAGTGTGACTAGATACCTACCAACTTCATGTTAGTAATTTTACAGACATCTGTTGATCCCCCTTGCTGCCACATCTCTCCTAGACTGAAGGTGTTTGGCCTCCCCGTGCAGCAAGGATCACATACCTTTGCTCATCCGTGTGCTCTCAACATTTTCCAGCTCTGCTGTTCCCTTTTTGAGGTGAACAGCAGGAGTCAAGATGCTGCAAACTCTATTTTTGCTTTGATGTGGTGCTCCCTTTTCCTTTTCTGAGCCTTCTTAATATTTCATATGCCTTTTGACTGCTGCTGTTTTCATAACCCCAAGGTCTTGCTCCTGAGAGATGAGCTTGAAGCACATATTTTTATAAGTGAAGGATTATTTTTCCTACTTGGCCCACTTCAAATGGCAGATGCATTCAATAATATTCCTGCTTGAAATTATTTAGCATATCTTTCCCCTTTTAATTTTTTCAAAACTCTTATCACTTAATTACATGGCAGAACTTTCGTCACCATCAAACTTTGTCACCTTACCACTCATTCTGTAAAAAGTATAAATGGAAAAATGTAGTGGATGGCACAGGTCTCACCACCTCTCCCTGCACCACTGAGTGAGCTCTTCACTGGAAAAGTGATTGAGTCTTCCTTTTTATTCCTACCTGCTCATTATTTTGACAATTTATTCACAGACTTTCATGTCTTATCAACCAGATCCCTGTTACCACATGCACCACTAGGTTTGAGCTCAGTGAGAAATTTAACCCTCTCTGTTCTTGCAGTGATGATGCTATAACTTTGCTGATTCTATGGAGTTGAAAAAGGCTTCAGCCTGCACAGAGATTCAGACTAATAGTTTAGTTTCTTTGTTTCAGATTGGAAGTACAGTTCTGGCTTTGTGACTGCAGAGATGATTAAAGCTCACCTCCCTGCCCCTGGCAGCGACACGCTCGTTCTCATGTGTGGACCACCACCCATGATACAGTTTGCCTGTCAGCCCAACCTGGACAAACTTGGCTATGCCAAGAGCAGTACCTTTGCTTATTAACTGCTGCCATCAGCTATCTTTTTGTAAGTACTGCCTATTTTCCTGCAGGAACAGTTGGTGTGTAACTGTGCAGTATTTCGTGTGCATGTGGTTTTTAACCTCTTGATGTAACTTCTGTGATTTGTAAGTTCATCATTCCCTTTGTGTGTTTTAATATTAAGAAGTTGAGAAAATAATCTTGAGTGTGTGGAAGTAACTTGGTCTAACCTCAAGTTGGTATGAAGCATTAATTCTGAGGGGAAAAAAAATTAAGTGTAATCAGGTAGGAGAAAGATAAACCCACTTATTTCTTAACATGGTTATGGAATTTGGGAGAGGACTATAAAACTGGTGTAGGGTTAGTTGACTGCTCCATAGGTGATTCATTTAGTGAATCCTGGGGAAGGAGAGTACAAAGCACAGGTTTTAGTTGTTTTTTTGTAATGCTGTTTTACAACCCTTTGTCAAGGACTAAGAGCACAGCCTGCTACTGAAAAAGTGAACAGAATTTGGGTAACAATCAAATTGCTTGTTATTGTAACAGAAGTTCTCGTTAGTGTGACATTCATTGGTGAGGATTACATACCTTCATGCTGTCCTTAGCTAATGAAGCACTGCCAAGTGTATGTGGCAGTTCTGGGCTGCATAGAGACATAAGTATCCAATGCTGTTGCATCATTTGCATGTCATTCTCTTAGTGCTTCCTCTCTTGGCAGTTTCAGAAATTTCCTTTGCTTATGGGAAATCATGGCTTTATTTTTATTTTTTGTCTAGTGTAGCTATGCTGAGTCAATCTTACACTCAGCTAATGCTTCATCTCAGTGTTTTTAACCACTTAGCACTGAATTTTGAGTCTCAGTGCATGTTCATTTCCAGGAATTGGTTCACACTACATTTGGTTTTAGGGTCTGACCAATCCCTGAGCCAGCAGACTTGTTTGTTCAGCAGCTAATATAGGTGTTTACTAAATATTTGTATCCATCTAAAGCAAACCTAAAGAAATCTACTAGTTTGAAATTGTCCTAAGGATTCTGTACTTTATCAGCTATATTTGTAGCAACAATGCAAAGAAAGACAAAGGGATTCAGGGATTGTGGCCCTGATGAGAGATCAACCACTTGTATTTTTTGTTAAATCATTCCACAGTCAGCAAGAGATAAAGGAACATTCAAGATTTATTCATAACAGTCAAAAAATAAGTATTTACATCAGTGTTATACTAAACACTAATTAGGATTTCTTACTACACCTATTGATTTTTTTTAAAAAATAATTTTGTAGATTGACTATTCACAGCCAAGTTAGCACAACACCACACTGAGTTATAAATACAGCATCAAAAGAAATAGGAAAGTCTGTTTGGCATATCCCAGTGATGCTAAAGATGCATCTGTTGGAGCAGTGCTGTAATTAGTCTGTTGGCTAATTAACCTGGCAAAGTATTTCAAGTGCCTGTAGTACATGATTTGGTCACTAGTACTGACTGTGTTGCCAGATTGGTACATTTAATACCTCTTCTTTGTAGTTTGTGACTATCAGTCCTTTGGATTTTCCATTATCCTTTCATTTTTCAGTGATGCAAAAGAATTTCCTTTGCTTTTACCATTTTGAACAATCAAATTATGTGTTTAGCTTCCAAAATCTGACCATACAGACCAGGGTCTATCACAAGAGCCTTATGAAGTGAGGCCATAGCCATATACAAAGGCTTTTTCTTGCAATTAAGCAGATGATTTTATTTTTTTTGCCATTTGCCTGTTAACTAAAATAGTTTGTTAATAGCTCATTAATACAGGCTAGGCACATGTAAACAGATGGCACAAGTAATTGCTGCTGTAAAGGAGACAGTTTCACCCTGAAAGACCCACCAAATAGTGCTGCAGTCCTGTCTAGCTCAGCAGAATAGTAACAGATCTATTTTGTCAGGTGTTTTAAATAAATATTTAATTATGTACTTTTCTGATGTTCCATAGTCACACTGGACACATCACAGTGCAGTGATGTTTGTCTCCTAGAGTTAAAGATTCCATGAAAGTCTAGCTGGAATGAAGACAGTGAACAGCAGTATTGTTTACATGTAGCTTACACTGGTTCCCATGCACATGTTACAGAAGTATCTCTACTGTAATCTCCTGTCCCCAGGGCTGTTTGCAGCTGTATGTTTAATTAAGTGTAACTACAGAAAGAAAATAGGCTTATTACCATCCCTGTCTTCCTGAGGGCCAGTACTGCATTCCAGACCAACCAGGCATGGGCTAAGCTTTTCCTGAACCATTTTGACTGGTCTAAAGGCTTATGATCATCAGTACTAGCCATTTTAGACAGCATGTCATTGTACAGAAAGAGACCATGCAGTAGTTCTAGTTAGAGAACTGTCATTTAAAACCAAAAAGATCATGGTGGAAATTGTTGTGCTTACCTTATGGAGCACAGCAAACACCATTCTCAGAGTTACATGTTACATTAATTAAATGTTGTGACTTCTCCTTGACATTGCACATGTAAAAATCACATGATTTAAAAAAAAAATAATCACTTCATATGAAGCACCAGCTTTGCATCCATCAGTTTGTCTGCTAGTCTCAGACTCACATTTCCTGCATTGTTCAGCATCTTTTTGAGCTGGGTGAAGATTTGTGACCATGCCAACTTGTCAACATCCTGATAAAAGCAAGGGTTTCATGGACAGGATTATGTACCATTCTCCCCATTCTGGAGCACTGGCTTAGATAAAAAGAGAGCAGGACATGTGCTAGTGAAAGGCATGAGGGATTAAAATCCTTTATGGAAACCAGTCTAGCAAGAGCCACTGCCCTTGCCAGCATCCAGCTGAATTTCCAGGTTGCAATAGCATGTTAATATTCTCTGCCTTACACATAAGTTATAAAAATAAAAAAACATTACAAAAGATCTTTCATACAACACCACATGAACATACCATGGAAAAGATGACTGAATAACAGGGTAAAACACATTGCCAGTCTTGGTTTCCAGACTCTGGATATGAGTCCCATTCCTCTCCTAACACCTGTTTCTTATTACAATATATGGCAAAACAGCACAAAGGAGAGTTACCTGTAATGTGTGGCTACACTGACAACATTAAATGCTACGTGGTGGTAAGTCTGAGTAGCAGAAAGAGGTAAAACTTTCCTGCAACAGCATCAAGCTGCTCCTGGCCACTCCTGATAGGCATGAGGTTTGAGTAGTAGTGTTCTTGGTCAACGCTGGAACATCATCTCCAATCTTCCAAGGTAGGTGTTAAAAACCTGCTGTCATTCAGCATTTCATCCTGGCTTAACAGGGTCTGAAAAAACAGGATGGGGAAGGAGTGAGCAGGGTTGGTTAGAGGCCCCTAGGTACAGCCCTAGCTGCAATGAGATCAGGCTCACAACAGAGGGGGTGAGAGCTACGTCCAGTCAGAAGGAATTTCTTGAACACAGCTTTAAAGAGACTTCTTTGATTGAGGAAATTCTTAGAGATTTTGTGTTTGGCATGTGACTCATGTTATATAATTCTTCATTATCTTTCAGTCACTTATTTTTATCTCTTAACAAATTAGCCTCTATGGAGTGAGGAATTAACAGTGAGGGGTTTTGTTTGTTTTCCATGGAGCTTTAGCTCATGTAAATTTGAGTCTGTACCTCATTCCAAGCCTTTGCTCTGACTGAAGCATTTGGTCGTGGTTACCTGCAAAATCTTTGAAGACTTGTTTTCATTTAAGGGGATGAATATCTGTCATCGTGTGAAAGAGAGAGCAGAGTTCATGAAAATTTAAACAGGCCTAAATGCAACAATTTCTAGAGCAAGCCTAAAGCAGGTTTTTTTAAATGTCTAACCAGGCTATAAAGGGGTATTTAATAAGAATAGTGACCCACTTAACTCCCACCAGCAGTGACCTACTGCCACTTAACAACAGCAGAAAACATTTGTGACTTTAAAGCAATGAGTACATACCGTGAGTTGGCTTATGCCTTGAGAGAGAGCCCCTATTTGCATTACTGTGCCTTCTGAGGGTTCCATCTGTAAAAGCATTCAGGAACTAGTTCAAATCAGACAGTATGTGCAATTTTAGTCACTCTACATGCATCTTTGGGAGGGATCTGTGCCTGGACAAATGGAGTTTGGTAAGTTTAAAAGTTCTGATTTCTGCACATTAACAAAACTGCCTCTATACCATTACTGCATAAGGTACATGAAAACACATTTAACAATGAGAAGAGTGACCCAGAAAGATTCATTCCATGAAACTTGGGCTTTAAGTCACAGAAGAAAATAAAAAGCTTATCTGATGTTATCAATGAAAAGTAGTATTTTCCAGATGGTGTAACACTACTTAACCTTCTGCTAGGCTTCTTTGACAGGCAAGAAGAGTCCTTGATGATATACAGTCCTACCTCTTTTCACATGCAAACATCAGTTCTAGGGCATTGCAATGTTATTGCATGACCACATGCTCAGAAGTCATGCTTAAGTGAAAGACCATGCTGCTAGAGAAAAATTCAGGATTTCTGTGATGCTTGAACAACTGCATAGTGCAAGTTCTTGGCTCAAAGTTAATGCATTCCCTCACAACTCTTAGCTGAGCAAGTGGACATCCATACTAAATCACAGCCAGGATTTGGTATTCTCCCTGTTTAAGGAGCAGTGTTTTACTAAGGTGTACACTGAAAAAGACAATGGTTAGATAATGAACACAAATGAGATGTTAGATGCACTCACCATGCACATGAAAGAATTACCTTCACAGTTAGTCTTTTCAGTGTTGTGACCATTCTCTTATCAGGCTTAAAATGTTTTTATCTCACTTAAGGTCACTGGAGATGGGGGTTTACCCCAGCTGCCTCTGTCTGGCTCTTGTGTGTTGCCAAAGTTCACACAAGGCTTCAGGAGCTCCATTTTTCAGGGCTTACATCCCTTTACACAACAGCTAAGTTAAAATAGAATTTGAAGGTTTTTAGTCTTCATCATTGGTCTGTTTGATGTCTAGAGAGTTGCATTCACAAGTTCACTGCTACATAACAGAAGCAAATTATTTAAGTATTGTTTTATTAATAACCTTATTCATTACTGATGCATTGTTTTCACATATACTCTCTAAGCAGAACTACTCCCCACTGTACACAATGAAAGAAAAATTCAGTTGGATTCTTTTGATTAATGTTTGTTAAAAAATACAATCCAGTTGTACTTTCATATAACTTGATAGCTTTGTACAAATTTGCCCAAATGAAGTTATTGCATTAAAAAAACCCACCCATAGAGATAATGAAAAAGTAGTGTGCCATACTGAGGTTATGAAAGCTAGAAGTACAAAAGTCTCATCTTTACTGCATCCACCCCCTTAACTGTCAAAATACATCAAGCTTCATAGTGTAAAGGTGTCACATTCCTGAAAAAGGGCTTGAAGATGGATGAGTTTATGATGATGTTGGTTAAAAAAAAAAATAACCTGACGTTCCTAGCATAGAACTCTTTCCAGTGTCCATAGCCAGTACTTTCTCAGGAAGTTCATGCGGATGTAGCAAATTGTTACGAGCTAACATTTGGTTATTTGCAAGCTTTGGAATGCATGGAGAGGATGAGATGAGAATGGCATCAGTCTGTCTGTCCCACCTGATCCAGTTCCCTATCAGAGAAAGGACTGAGGCCTTTGTATCCACCATAGTTTTTTGCAGTCCCATTCATAGCAGCTGCGTTTGTATCCATAGGACAAATGTAGTCTGTGGATTCATCAAACTTCTTTTTCCTTAAGTTTCCAAAATGCGAAAATCCAAGTTTCTTTGGCTAAAATAAGAAGACAGCACCAGGAGCTTTGAGTAAGACAAGGAAATTTGTTCTTCAAACATTCAAAATCCTCCCCTTTTTCATCTACTGCTATACCCTGCTCATTGAGACTCTGAACTAAACAGATGTGTTTTCAAACTGGGAGTTATAGCTGATAAATGCATAGTGTGCCTTCTAAGGAAAGACAGGATGGGCTGCATGCTTAGTTCAGAAGCTGATTTAAACAGATAAAAATTAAAAGGTTTGGCATATAGAATTAAGGACAATATAACACTCCTTAAATTGACCTCTCCCTGCCCATGATTGTCCCAGAGAAGTCTGAACTTCTGCAGTTTGTCCTGGTTGACAGCAGTACGTACCCGAACTTTGGCAGTGGTGGTCAGAGGTGTGTATGCTGCTGACTCCATTATTTCTCTTTTTTCTTGTTGTGCCTCTGGCCCAATTAACACATTGAAGTTGGTGGTTAGGTGGCGGCGCAGGAGGGTCTTCTGAGGTGGGATGTTCAGGAGCATGGCCAGCGCATCGCCGTTGAAGCGAGGTTCAAGGATCTGTGAAGAAATGGCAGAACACGAGCCAGCGCGTCACCGTTGAAGCGAGGTTCGAGGATCTGTGAAGAAATGGCAGAACACGTTTTTATCTGGTCAAATATTTGCAATTTCTCACTCTCACTAAGCTATCTGTCCACACTAGACCTTCTGTAACTCACTCGTGATACAATACTCACTGGAGTTGAATGGCAAATAGATGAGAGGAGCCAGCAAGAAATGCTGAGTGTGATCAGTCACCGTTGAAGCGAGGTTCGAGGATCTGTGAAGAAATGGCAGAACACGTTTTTATCTGGTCAAATATTTGCAATTTCTCACTCTCACTAAGCTATCTGTCCACACTAGACCTTCTGTAACTCACTCGTGATACAATACTCACTGGAGTTGAATGGCAAATAGATGAGAGGAGCCAGCAAGAAATGCTGAGTGTGATCAGGCAAATAGATATTTAGACTTAGCATCAAACCATACATTTGTTTAGATTGAACAAGTTTGTTTTAGAGCAGAATTTTCTGCTCTACTCAGAGTATAAACTTTGTCTTAGTGCAATTTCTTGTACTTCATATTTTTGCAAGTCTACAGCAGGAGAATCATGGTGTTCTGGAGAGGAATATATACGTATTCTGGGGAGGAATAACCCCAAGCACTGGTACAGGTTCAGCACTGACCTGCTGAAGAGCAGCTCTGTGGAGAAGGACCTCAGGGTCCTGGTGGACAAGCTGTCCATGAGCCAACAGTGTGTCTTTGGGGCCAAGAAGGCCAATGGAATCCTGGGATGCATTAAGAAGAGCATTGCCAGCAGGTCAGGGAGGTGAGGTGATCCCTCTGCTCAACCCTGGTGAGGCAGATCTGGAGTATTGTGTCCAGTTCTGGGTTCCTCAGGACAAGGAGGACATGAAGCTCATGGAACAGGTCCAACAGAGGGCAAGGAAGATGCTAAAGGGACTTGAGGCAGATCTGGAGTATTGTGTCCAGTTCTGGGTTCCTCAGGACAAGGAGGACATGAAGCTCATGGAACAGGTCCAACAGAGGGCAAGGAAGATGCTAAAGGGACTGGAGCATCTCAGTGATGAGGAAAGGCTGAGGGAGTTGTGGCTGTTCAGTCTTGAGAAGAGATGACTGAGAGGGACCTCATTAATGGATTCAAGTACATGAATGGGAAGTGCCAAGAGGATGGATCAGACTCTGCTCAGTGGTGGAAACCAATAAAACAAGGTAACAGCAAAAACTGATGCACAGGAAGTTCCACCTGAATATGAGGAAGAACTTCTTTCCTGCCCAGTCCCTGAGCACTGAACAGATTGCCCAGAGAGGTCATGGATTCTCCCTCACTGGTGGTAGACACAAACCCACTGGACACAATCCCGAGCCATGTGCTGTAGGATGGCTCTGCTTGAGCAGGGAGGTAGGACCAGATCACTCACTGTGGTCTCTTCCAACCTGAGTCTGTGATTCTGATTCTGTATTTCAGAACTTTGGCTTTATCAAGCTGCAAACAGTTCTGAATGTTTTGAATTAAAGAAATGCCATTCCTGATTGCTGGCAGGACTGCTGCGAGTTCAGGCCAGTTATTTACCATGGCTCAGAATTCTGGTAAAGGCACTCCAAGAAACACTCAGTGATGCCTTATCAATAAGTAACTCTCTCATAGCACAGTTCAGAGGGTTTTATGTGCTGCTATCAAACACTCATGCACAGCTTAGCTTTGATCATAAAAAAATGGTTCA